CAATTTTTTGTTTTCCAATTTTATTTATATGAACAGTGATGCGATTAATATACAGCAGAGAATGGATTCCTAGAAGTCAAATTTTCTATGTTGAGGCTGTCTACTTTGTAATTTGACTAATACTGCCAAGGACTCTACAACTCTATGTAAAGGTTGCACCAATTTACACTCCCACCCACAGGTATCAGAATTCCTGTTTCCCCACACCTCAGAGTGTGTTTGTTTTCACAGTGCATATAAAGAAGGAAAAAAAATCAGGGAGGGTTACAGAATAAAGTGTTATCGAGAACTGTCTCCAGCACGTCTATCCAACCAGGGCTTAGAAAATGCCTAGCAAATGTGGCCTGACCTTTTCTTGGGACACAATTGGGCAAATGACAGATCTCACTAGAAGCAGTGACACACCCCAGGCCACCCCAACACACCTTCCTTATTAATTGGTTCTCCACTTAGCACCACAGAGCAGTTCCAACTCAACTGACCTGCTCAGGGTGGTAACCGGAAAGTTAAACAACTCCAGTTTTCCTGAAGACTGCCAAATCGTTCTCTAGCCAAACAGGCTACTTCAGAGTTGGTCTCACAAAGTTCCCTGTCTAAATGAACTGGCTCTGAAAGCAATGAGCTTAATTGATAAGCCGTCCCCAAAAGAGCTAGCAAACACTGCAGCACTTTCCGCTGACCTTCGTCATAAACTCTGAACACCTTGAATGCCCCACCCCACACATGATGGGGCAAAACTTGTAAAGATTAGTAGTTCCAATGGCACTGATTGATACTCATGCATTCCATTGTGTTGTTAATTTCAGTGATCGTGCAAAGCGTTAAAAAATTCTGAGCTTCTTTGAGAATACCAATGGCTTGTTTCTCTATTGTTCTTCAAAAGAACAATTATTCCTTAGAATAATCCAGTAACATCTACCACCATGCGGTAACCTTCAAGACATATTTATATATGGTTGCCATTTCAGTCTCCTTTTGAGTCTTAAGTGTACACGAGCATCAATTGATATGAAAATCAACTGTACTGTAGTGTGATGTCCATACAATGAGACCCCATCTTAAGAGTCTGCTTCCATGAGTTTTACCGAATGTACACATTCGTGCAACTGGGTTCTTTAAATGGAGGCAATTTTATCCTGCTTCAGGCACTCTGCAGCACACACAGGTCCTAGTCCTCAAAATGTAAGAACCGTGGGCACAGCTCCACTGGCAGATGGTCATGAAACCTCCCTGTAAGCACTTCCAGTGTCCAGTCTATCATAAAGACAAGCCATAGCCAACACTGCATTTCCAAATAAGCACAGTCATGCACAACAGCATTTTCAAACCTAGGATCTGCTCATCTAGAGCAACAAGAAAGAGACCATAGACTTTCAGAGCCCCACTTTCTCCAAGGGTTTCCCAAGGACCCCCTCCCCTCTCCCATCCTGTATAAACTCTCCAGTTTGCTCCTTCTCCTTCTTCTAGAACTCCCTCTGTAGCCCAGCCTGATCTTGAGCACAAAATCCTCCTGCCTCAGCCTTCCAAGTACACCACACCCTGCTGCTTAAAGGACTAAGCAGCCAATCTGTGTGGTTTGACCAGGGCAGGGCAGAGTCCTGGGGCAATTACCTCCTAGATCTCTACTTAAATATTTGCTAACTGCCCAGCATGTGCCAGGCACTTCAATGTGAGTAAGACTCTGCACCTGCCCTCAGTAAGGTCACAGAATTCCATTAATGCACCCAATTCATGATTTCAACAATTGCTCAGGACCACAGCCTATATTGAACTTGGAATGAATTAAAGTTCACATGCATTATATTTAGGGCAAAATAACTTCTTCCAACATAAGTGAGGGACTTTTCAGATGCCCCTGAGGCTTTTATCATTTTGATTTTTGCCTTATTTCAATATAAGAGCTCTAGCAAGGTGTTAACTATTAATACTAAGGCAGTTAATATTTCTTAGAACAAAGGTGTTCTCTTATTTCTCATGAAAGTAAAGACATGTTCTGAGTTCAGGGTGAATTCCTCTGTGTGGTGATAAATATATTATTTAAGCAAAAGACAAGCCATGTTCTATTATTTCATAGTACTACAAAGTATATTTAAGTAAAAGGGGGCATATCTTCTTTTCCTTGCCTTTCTTCTTTTAATTGTAGGGTCTTTTCCTGGCAAACTTGTATTCACCCTTCAAAACCCAAAGTAGATGTCACCTCTCAGGTGAAGACTTCCAGAGTCTCAGACAAAAGGAAAAACCCTCTCTACTTTCTTTCCTCTGCTCTCAGCTCATTGTCCCATATTCACGTTGACTCAGGTTGACCAGTTATCCTGGTACACTGGGGATTAGGCTCAGTACTAAAGTTGCCAAATCATAGGAAAACCCTTAGGCCCAGGTAAAAAGAAAAACTGGTCACTCTACATAACAATGAGTGACTTTAATAAAATAGCCATCAGTATGAAGGCCAAAGCCAAATACTGTATGTCACAAATGTGACCTCACCTGATCCCATTTTACAGAAAAAGAGGTGCAACAGAGAGAGGTAAGCAATTTGCCCAAGGTCCCACAGGGCACCTGAAACTGAAGGGAGGTTTGCTGGGCTTCAAAAGCCTATGATGTACAGCACTCTTAGGGCTTGGTGGCATTAAGTTCCCACAGGAAATGCTCTATAAACACCATGCGATCAGTTCTCCTCCTTCCTTCACTCAGTGTCAGCTAGTACTTAGTCTTGGGTCTCTCTAAATCTGCCAGACATCTACCAGGGAGCCCCCATGATGGGCAGAACATATAAAAAGCACATTTAGGGACTGGGATATTAGCTCAGTGGGGTAGTGTGCCTGGCCAGCATGTGCAAAGCCCTGGGTTTAATCCCCAGCACTGAGCAGCAAACAAACAAAAGCACATCCATGCGCACGTCCATGTGTGCAGCTTTTAACTGAAGTAATGCTTTTATGTAAGCAGCACCACAGATGCTGAGGATCTGAGTTCCACCAGCGTCAACATGCCTCACACTCCCTGAGAGACAGCATGGCACCTCTCCTGGCCTGACCATTTAAAATGCTTGGCTATGGAGGAAATTTTAAAAATCCAGGGACTTCATGGGTTGACTGGTCGGGTGGAGTTGGCTGTTCTAGAAAGCTCCTTAAAAGTCAGCTTGTCCTGTGTTGACACTGAAATTTGGGGAACGTTACTTACTTCAGCACCCACTGTGTGCTCTCACAGTGTCATTTCATTTTTTACACTGCTGTAAAAAATGAAAGACCAGAAGGTCTCTTCCATCTTTCGATTCGAAGCTCCTCCCTTTTTCCTAAGCCAAACACCAAATTCTCACTCCAGGATTACAGGGGGTACAAAGCAATTGTCCTCTCCCACCAAGAATTTAAAAGAAGTGAAACTATGGGGACCATGCCTCCTCTTTTTCGTTGTTGTAGCTGACCTTTTCTCCCCCCACCCCAGGTTCTAGCTAGCCTGGAACAACTGGTCCTCAAGCCTCAGCCTCCTGAGTGCTCGGGTTACAGACCTGCCCTACCACACCTGGCCCATTCGTTCCTATTTTAAGCCAGAGGCTCAGAGAGCGTCCTGAAGAGAATACAGACTCAGATTGCAGGATCACAGCGCCCTGTGTGGATAGGCCGCTAGGCTGCTCTATCTCAAAGGTTCACCCGCAGAGATCCGCAGGCCACCCCTCCTCCCCCAGGGATCCCTCCTGGTTTCCCCATGTGGAGAGGAGGGCTCTGGGAGCCACAGACACAGCCCGGGCGCCACCTCCATGGTTAATCAGTTTACCTGGGACTTGTATTTGGCTGGACCCCTGTTGGGACCTTCCCTAGCCACCCAGAACAATTTAAAAGCTCTTCAAAGCCGGGACCCTTCTCCGAGCCAGTCAAACATGGCAAACAGGGAGGACAGACTTTACTCTTCAAAGTGAGAACAAAAGCAAAAGGATTTAGCACTTAGTAGGTAGTCAATAAATGTTAACTTTGTTTCTCAAGTCCGGGCTTCCCCTCCCCCACAAGAACCAGCTCGATCCAAACACGGTCTTCCGACACTTCCCGAAATTCCTCAAGACCAGAGGTCGTTTGCATTTTGAACTAGCGGGTGCCACTGTCCTTTCTTTCTCAGCCCACGTGGCCAGGCTCCTTCGCAGAGCCTCATCTGTGGATTCGAGAAGAGGGACACGTTTGCTGTCCCTCCCAGGTCTGACATGCGATGGGAATATTAAATCGCACCCATCATGACTGCTTTTCGACTCCCAGGCCTGGGCGGAAGAGGAGACTCAAGGCATGGTAACGCGCGCCAAGACGCTTTTTAACTGCGGGTTAGAAAGAAGTCCTTCTAGGTCTCCTGTGTTCCCAGACACTGACCAGAGGTGTCTTCCAGGCACCGTGCGACCACACAGTCTGCCCAGGGGACCCATTAGAGCCGCCCCAGTTTAACCCATCTCCAGGAGGTCTCCTTTGCTGCTCCCTTTTTGTTGCTGGTGTGAAACCCCCCACAGGAAAATCATCTGCCACTCCGAGGGCTCCTCCAACTGGGCTGCCAAATGGCCCAGATCTCAGGTCCAAGCAATGCAATCGAGGCTGCAGAAGCCCCCAGGGGAGGGTGGAGAGGAAATGCGAGCAGCACCCCAGCTTTGCCAGCGCCATCCACCCAGGGCTGCTCCTCCTGACCCCCTGCGAGCCCATCTACTCCCGCTGGACCGACTGCCAGGTGCGGCCGACGGACCCCACGACGGGGACTGCGCTGGGGCTGCACTCAGACCTCGCCACCCTTTTACAGAAGGGGACTTGGTCAGCAGGCAGGCAGCCGCCTCATTCAAACAGAATCCTTGGGACTGGGATCCTCGCCGTCACCAATCGCTCATCGCTGCCAGCTTTCAGTGGGCCTTTCTTGGACACTCGATGGCTTCAAGCACCCTTTCCCCGCCATACACTCGCGAACCATTCAATGCCCCCAACAGGGCTCAAGGCAGCTGTGGTCCGCTCCCCACCGCCTCAGTGCTAGCCCTCCGTACTCACCGAGATTGGGGTGTCGGGCGGGGTTGGCCCGGCCAGGCAGGCTGTGCAGGACCGGGCTGTCGAAGGGGCCGGCGGAGGCGGCTGCAGCCGCGGCCCAGGATGCGCCCACGTCGGCCATGTAGGCTGGGTAGGGGCTGGAGTAGGAGCCCGCGAAGCCCGCGCGCCCGTACTGCTCGCGGCCCGCCAGGCCCGCGCTCCCCGCCCCGCTGCCACTGCTGTAGGCCGCGGCTTCCCGGGCGGCGGCGGCGGCAGCGGCGGCCGCCAGGGACCCGGTGGTCCCCGGGAAGGAGAAGCGCGGCGACACCGGCGGTGGGGTGTAGGCGGCTCCCTCGGCGCCTGCCTGGCTCCAGCCTGGGCTGCCCTGCTGGGTCCCGGGCCCCGCACCCGACGGGGCCGCCCCGGAGCTGCCCCCCGAGCCAGCACCGGACGCAGCACCCCCGCCTCCGCCCTGGAGGTAGGACAGGCCCAGCACCGAGGAGGGCACCCGCGGCGTGGGCACGTAGACTGGCGAGGACGCAGCGCCCGCGCCATGCATGAAGGCGCCGGGACCGCCCGCCTCGTAGGCCCCGGGCGGGGGTCCGTGGTTGGCGGCCATGGCCAGGCTCTGGTACATAGCCCCTGCGAGCGAGCTCTTCGCTCCCTTCCCTCTCGGATCAAGGAGCGACAAAACAAGAACAGCGATAATAATGTACGCGTGCGGGACTGTCACGAAAACGAAGGTCAAAGTCAAAGGGAAAAACCCAAATCGCTCAAAAATATATACGCATCAAATCCAGAATGGAGCTCTTGTTTACTCAGGAAGATCCCGAATTGAATTTTTGGATGTTCCGGAATGAAGGTGGTGCTGGCGCGGTCGACTCCACCCCAGGACCTGCAGGTCCCGAGCGCCCACAGGCCGCAGAAGACGCGGGGGTAGTGGCCGGCCAGGCCTGCGGGTCACCCAGTCGTTCCGCCGCGAGGCCTTTGTCTTGCCCCCGGCGCCGCGCACTGCCTCCAGCGCTCCCGCGATGCGCGCAGAGTCCCCTAGGCTGGCTCCAACGTCGAAGGCCAGACGGGCCCCTTCCTCTCACTGCGGCCGCAGAACTAAGGGAGGAAGGACAAGGAGAGAAGTTCATGCCAGAGCTTTTAGAGTCCCCTTTCCCGTGCTCGGTGGCTCCTCCCGCTCGGCAAACGAAATCCTCCCTCTCGGTCCCAGCTTCGGAGACCGCGCGCTACCGCGGGAACAGCGGCCTTTGTTTTGCCCGGGACGTGCGGTCAAGTTGCCCATGGCAAGCACTGCGGAGCTCGATGAAGGGGATGTGGGATCTAGGTTCTTGGGAATGCAGTTATTGCTTGTGATCTGGGTCAATTATTTTTCTATTGCTTATCAGGAATTTTACTTTATTCTTTAAGCATACTTTTGCTACAGTATTGTACAAGGGTTTCGGTTTCCAGAGAATGACTGGGATCCAATAAATCTCACCCATCTTTTCTTCATTCCCCTCCCCCAGCATTCCTGATCAAGAAAGTTTAGATTGTTCATGGGGGGGGGGCAATGCCAAATGCCAAACTTTATAAAAACCAGCAACTTAAAGTTTTGTTTGTAATCTTAAAAAAAAAAACCACCTAGAGGCACAGTCTGGATGTTTATAAATGAGCAAGTGTCTGTTAAACTTCGTAAAAAGCATTGTGAAACCTCTTAACCATATGCTGTACCAGTGGATGTCAAATCAGACACTTTACATGTTTCTTGCAAATAATTACATTTTAGACGTCTTGCAGTTGCATACGAGTACTATAAAAGTAAGAGGAATGTACAAGGTCATTTTACAGAACTCAAGGAACCACTCTAAATCACTGAATGGTTTTATTCAGGTGGAATCACAGGTCCACCCAAAAGCAGAATCAGCACACCAATGAGGCTGCTTAGGGAAAGGGCAGCTTCAGGGCTTCATTGTCTGCTTGCTTCCTAGCATCCTATGGGATTTTTCTAAAAAATCCTAAAAGCTCCATTTTCTAACGCACCTGCTGTGCTTCAAATCCTTTTCGCCATACCCCCACTAAATAAAGGGGTTTTGCCTTGTTCACAAAAGAGGGAACTAACACATTGGTAAGTTTTGAATCCTGTCTGTGATTAAAATACAATTAGAGGGTAGAGTGGAGGGGTCTCTAAAGTCCCAAAAGTTTGAGGTTGCCCACCAAACTTTAAGAAGCAGCAGCTACACCTGACACGGGTTTCTTTTTTATTGCAACAGTACACTTACAAGGATATGAATACAGTTTCTGTCACTTTCTGAGTAAACAGCTTTAAAAAAACCACTTAACCTCCTTGTATCTCAGTTTCCTCATCTGCAAAGTGCAAATATTAAAGATACATGTCCCACGGGGTCATTGTGAGGATTATGAGTGGAGATTATAAATTTATATATATACAGCATTTACAACAAGACCTTTATAAGGCTGTTACAACAGGCTCACAAAAGTTCTCCAAAATAGTTGACTGTTACTACAGATTTCTAATGTAGCCTAAGAATGTACCTGGGATGTAATATTACTATATAAATCATCACCTTTATTACTGTAAATTTTATGGAAATGTAATCTTTAATATGTATATACCATATAATACTTTTCTCCATTTCACAATACAACTATTAACAGTAATGGAATTAATAGCATTATATTATATAGCCACGTGGTAATTACTAAATGATTTTATTACTTGCTTTCAAAATATACAGTAAAACACTGGTTTGATGAACACTGTCTTCCAACAAGTTTGGTTAAATGATGGACACAATACATTTGACGGGAGGTCAACTAGCTTTTTCCTTTGAAAATAAAGGTGAAAAATTAATACTCCCTAGTAATCTCAATAAGTAAATAAATATATATATTTGCCTTAATAAAATTTTCAGAATCTAATTTCTATTTCTTTGTATTTCCCGTAATGCTCCTGCAGTTCTAAAAGATAATGCTGTAAACTTTATTTTCTCTCATAAACTGTAGAAAGAGAAGGAGATTTAGAATTTTGTACTCTTAACTTCCAACCTACATACAGGTGCTAATTTGTAAACTTTACAATGAACACTGCTAAAAATGTCGCAAATCTCACACTTGTGTTTAGTATCTTTTCTGCCTTTTCAAGTGGCTGATAGATTACCTGAGACTGGATTACTGGAACAATAGCAAGGCAAGAAAGTATTCTGGCCGATTTCTGCAATGGGGCTTGGTCAGGCCCACCGCAAACTCCTGAGACGCACTGAGGCTCCTGAGCAGTGAAGGATCGCCCAGGTTACCACCTTTTCCTTCGGATCACTCATCCCAATTCACCCCAAGTTCGAAAGTAATACTTTTTTCCTTTCATGATTTACCCACCAACCCTATTCTGATCTATTTTTGATCTGTCGCTTTACAGGTCATTTCTTCTCTTTCCACTCAGCTCGCGCCATCGCGCTCGGCCTGCGGCGCAGAAAATTCACACAAACGAGAGCTCACACCCTAGCCAGTAAGAATGAAGCTTCCCCAAATTCTTCAGCCCCGTCACCCCATTGCAACTTTTCTTTCTTTAAACGCCCGGAAAGAAACTTGCTGCTGGCTACCTTCTAGGGGCACAGGAAATACTTCCCCGAGGTGCTTCCCAACCTTCCCAGCAGCGGGGGCCATGCTGCCCGGGCCTGTCACTCGCCGCGGGTCCCTCGCCACCCTCTTCCCAGTCCCAAAGTCCCTCTTTTCCTCTATCTGGTGGCAGTTCACCATCCGGGCGTCTCTCTCTCTCTCTCTTCCTCTCCTCTCTCAAGGGTAACCGCTTCCCACTCTTAGGCCGCAGCAGAGAGCACAGCACAATCTCGTGGATCCCGGGAGCTAGCCTTGGACAGTGGAGGCGTCACTGCTGCCCGCGCGGGTTCCGGCCTCCGCCAGGGTCGCGCAGAAGTAGTGTGGGTGGTCGAGCTTAAGCTGGGCACTGATTCCCCAGCCCCCAGTGTGGAAGATGAGGAGGCTAGCTAGAAATGACATAAAAAGGCCGGGGTTCTGCGGTCGTTCAGACCTCAAAGCACCTCCGCCCGCCCCCAGGTCGTGCAGCGCGGCCTCCCACTGCCACTCAGCGTCCCCGACTTCACTGGCGGGCGACGCCCCTCGATGTTCGAGCTGCTGTGCGGCCTGCCCTAGATCAGTTGGTCAGAATGATTTCCCCCGGTCACCTTCGCCACCCAGGCCCAGACCAGTGAGATGCAAACAAGGGCTGGGGGTGGGAATGACAAAAACTGTTCAAGTTCACCCAAAAAGGATCCAAACGCACTTCGAGTATCCCTCCCTGCTTTCCTCCTCCCCCAATCTTACTTCGATCTAAAGAAATTGCTATGCCAAAGTCAAAAGCAGGGCAGGCTTTGGCCAATGTGGGGACGGGGGAGTGACAAGGTCTCTGTTCCACCTTCTACTAGCTGCCTCTTACTCCCCAGCAAACAAGGCGGAGGAGCACCGAGTTCCGCAGACCGCGGTTAGGGTCAGGGAAAGGGAAGAGAGAAAACAACCCTACCTGCAAGGCCTCGTGCTCCCTGGAGAGCGGACGCGCGCTCCCGGGGCGCCCCCGGAGCTGCAGCGGCGGCTGAGCCTCTGGCGGCCACGGTGCCGGCCTCCGGCGAGTCCCCCAGCTCACCGCGCGGTCCCCCTCTCCCCTGCGCTGGGCGCGCGGCCGCTGAGTGGCCCGAGGGAGTCACGTGCAAGGGCGGGGGGAGGGGGCGCACCGCCGCCGCTGCACCTCTGCCGAGCGCCTGCCTGCAGGGCTGTTCAAAAAGCTCCGCCAACAGGCAAAGTCCAGGAGCAGGGATCTCCTCGGAAAACGTCAAAGTACAGTCGCCAAGGCACAGGGCACTGCCCACCGCCCAGCGGGAGGTCGATGTGGTTTGCTATTTTTGCCCAGGGACAGCTTTATTAATGAGCTCCCTCTCACACTCCCCACCCCTCAGTGGTTCCCGTCCAGCCGCGGTGGGCGAGGGGCGGGGCTGAGAGAGAGGAAGGTGACCTCTCCTGCACCGCTCCAGTTCTCCGGCGGGGCACGGAGTTACCCCCGGAGCTTCAGGTTTCCGGGCGGGAGTAATGGGGATCCTCCCTGACTCGGACTCCGGAGAGGCCCAGGAGACACCAAATCCCGGACTGGCCCCTCGAGACCGAGCATGGAGACCGAAGCCTCCCATGCCCTTTCCCAGCAGCCTGCGGAGACTACAAGGCGCCGAGAACTCCCGGCACCAGCCCTCAATTTTAATGTATTTATGCAAAACTTGCACCCCTTCCCGTCGACGTTTCCCATTTCCTGCGGCCTCCTCCCTTCAGAGCTCCCCCTATTTTCTCTGAAGCCTGCAGCAGCCACCGCACCAAACTAAAGGACGTGGTGGGGGCTGGGGAGCCTGGCGGTCCTGCAGGGCTTCTCCTCGGAGGGGGCTCTTTCCGGACAATAGTCCCCTCCCTGGTGTGGGGGTAGGGAGGGTGTCAGACCTCAGTTTGGAGTCGGCGTCAGTGCCTGTAGGCCCTGGCGCAGTGGGGCCGTGAGCCGGAGAGTCCCTCAGACAGGTCTAAAGGTTAATAGAGCAATCACAGGGCCCTATTACTGCGTAAAAATAACCCATCGATTACCGCAGCCTTCAGCCCCAGATAACAGCCTGCCGGTGGCTCTCACACTCTC